CCCCAAAAAAAAAGAAGTGATATAAGTATCAAATTGACAAAACACAAAACAAACAAGCCAAAATCAAACTGTAGCCGCAGTATCAATAATGAACAGCTAGAAACAATCACAAACTAACAACAGCAATATAGCTACAGTAGGTACTAGTTCCTCTTAGTTTAGTTTCAGTACGAGTTTTACGGCACTTGAAACACAATAAAGTCACTTAAGTGCCGGGTTTCGTTTTACAGGGGCTGCCTGCTTCTTGGTCTGGAACAATAACTCTCTTCTTGGAACAACCACCGTCTTCTCAGACTGCACAGCTCTCCAATGCGCTATTGACGTTTCTGTCTGCCACTGAGAAGGGATCACCTTACAAGTTACGATGTCTTCATCCTCTCTTTTGGGCCCCGTGCCGACCGTTCGCCTCTACCGTCACTACCCGCGCTTCTACTCACTCAAAGGTCACGAAGCCGCGCCTACAGCCGGAGATCCTGGACGGCGGGTTGACCTCTCGTCGTCGTGGGGCGTGGCTCCCTCCCCCACCAACAACGCGCCTGTTCAAGGTCGCAGCGTCACGCTTCACAGGCGCGGTGACCGGGGAGTCTTCTGGCAGCCAGAACTTGAGATCTTAGACCGTCGTCTACTGAGACGGACGACGAAGAAGGTGGAGCCTCCCCGTGATGGAATCCCCGCTTTCAGTGCGAGATGTGAAGAAAACGACGTGCACCTTCCCTCACTCGGTTCTAGCGTGTCATTGGTCAGCCGATCGTCTCACAAGAGGAAAAAGGACGTGTTTGAGTCGGTGGGCGGAGCTACGCTACACGACGTTTCGAGGGCGGTGTTCATCCCGTGCGGGACGGGCGCCTGTGACACAACATGCGCGGTGGAGCGCGAGGCCGGTGTGAGCAGAACCTGCCCAGGAAACACGGGGATCTCCGGCACGTCGGGGGCGGGGGGCGTGGCGAGACAGCTGTTGCTGCAGACAGAGGGGAGGAGGAGGGTCACGCCTCACAGGTCAAAGAGCGTGCTCGTCGTGGGAGGAGTTGTGGCGGCACGGGGTGTGGTCAGGACTCATGGCTCCACCCCTTCCGGCGCGTGTTTCCTCGCGCAGTGCCGAGCGCCGTCTGGTGTGAGGAGCGCGGACGTCCCGCGCCGTCTGGGCATGTGTAAACTGCCGCGCATACAGCACGTGCCGACGGCGGGAGGAGAAGGAGAAGTAGGAAGAGGAGGAGGAGGGAAAGGAGGACGGGGCGCGCGGTCAGAGCAATCATGCCTGGGTCAACTGTGGCTAAAGGAGGGCATGGAAGACAGTCTCTGCTACGAGGAAGAGAGGCAAGATGACAGCCTAACAGGAGAGGGAGAGGACAACTTTTTGCCATGGAATGCGGACGACGAGGAGAATACTAAGTCGGAGCCCGGGGATGTCCTCTGGTCCTCTAGAGGGTTCAATGACCTCCCGGCGAGCTGTGACGACGAACAACCAGAATGTGACTGTGACGTCAGCGCAGCGGAGGGTCAGACACTGGAGAGTGGCTCGTGCACATGTAAGGAAAACGGCGAGCACACAGGCGGAGAAAGGATATCTGCAGGCGATATAGGAGGTTTATCTGCAGGAGACGAAAAAGGTTCATCTGCAGGAGACGAAAAAGGTTCATTTGCAGGAAACGCAAAAAGGTTATCTGGAGGACATACTTGGACTGCCGAAAGAACATCAAAAACGGCGCCCCAGAGCGGTGAAGAAGGAAGAGGAAGAGGAAGAGGAAGAGAGGATGAGTCGGAAGCGATTGCAACTGAGGAGGGAGTGGGGAGAAGTGTATCCAGAGAGGCCGATGAGGGGGAGGGTGTGGGGGGAAATGTAGCCAGAGAGGCCGACCACAGGGAGGAGAGTGACGTCGGCGGCGAGGAGAGGATCCACGTGACGATCCCGTGGAGACAGGCTGTGCTGGAGTGGAAGGTGAGCAGCAGAGATTTGCCCGCAAGCGCACAGGAAGGGTGCCGAGTCTACCACGTGACGGAGAGACCGCTAGACGAACGACAAGCCCCCTCCCACCAGAAGCCCAAGCCACGCGGATCAGAGTCGGTACCACGTGATGTGGTACAGGAGCGCTTGACATCACTTCCGGCGCGGCGGAGTCGGATGTTGGAGGAGAACAGAAGGAGGCTGTGTGAGAGGTCCCGGGTGGGTGGGGATGTGCCGGCGGTGTGTTTCAATGCAAGCACGGTTGAGAATGTTCTGTCAGATGACGGCGCGCATTTGCCACTCCCTTTAGCCAATGACACAGTTCTCGAAGGCAGAGGGGCGCAGTTGTTTGAAAGAACTGATGTGGAAGAGAGGTTTAGAACAAGTGATCTCAGAACAGTTTTAAAAAGACAAAAGTGGCAACGTTTAAAACAGCCTGGTAGCTGCGATGTGTTCCCTGGAGGCACGACATATGGAAGCCGTCCAAGAGCGACAGAAGAAAACTCCGTGGATGTGACGAGCTTCCCTTGTGTGGAACAGCACCAGGAGATTCACGGTCCTGTAGGAGAGACACACCGGCCAGCAGCTGATGAAAACCACCCGGCAACCAGCGTTATTCCCGAGGACAGAAACCACGCGCCTTGTTCTGCTGGCAAGTCAGAAGACCCTCAGCAGCTGGGCAAAGTTCTGTCACGTTTGCCAAGTACGGGAACTCTGCTACGTCCATGGGAAGCCTGGGATCAGACGTCAGCACAGACACAGCACAGCGCTCTCTGCCCCGCCCCTTTACTTCCTGCATACGGGGACACGAGTCATGTGGTCAGATCAAAAACCGTTGTACAGAAGGGAGATGGCGCAATCAGTCAGAGTGATCAGGACTTCCCTCCTGACGACTTACAACAGGACGCCTCTAGCAGGCGTGACAGAGGAAGTGACAGCGGACGTGGCAGCCGGCATGATAAAGAAAGTGTCGACTACCCCAGGACTGTACTAAGCGACACACCCAACGCAGACTCCACACTGAGCGAACAGAGCAAAGACACGCACGATGAAATCTGTGCTGTGAAAAATAGAAACGTCAGTGAAATCACAGACCAAGAAGGCACAGGTATTGACAAACTAAACGCAGCTGCCAAGTCCAGAAGTACAGAAGAAACGTGTGCAGTTGGCATACATGTTGAGGAAACGTGTGCAGTTGGCATACATGTTGATGGGACGTCTGCAGTTGACATACATGTTGATGGGACGTCTGCAGTTGGCATACATGTTGATGGGACGTCTGCAGTTGGCATACAAGTTGATGGGACGTCTGCAGTTGGCATACATGTTGATGGGACGTCTGTAGTCAGCAAACATATTGAGGAAACATCTGCAGTTGGTATACATGTTGAGAAGAGATCTGGAGGCAGCATACGTGTTGGGGAAACGTCTGCAGTTGGCATACACGTTGAGGAAACGTGTGCAGTTGGCATACATGTTGAGGAAACGAGCAAGCGGGAAGACTCAGATTCCGACGACGCGTGTTCCTCCCCACTCTCAAGCTGGACAGCGGCGGCCTGGGGCGAGAGGAATGACGACGTGGGTCATCAAAACGTCTGTGCGGGTTCCAGGGGCCTTGAGGGTGGTGATGCTGAGAGGAACCGGCACTTGAACTGCTTTCTGTCGACAGACGAGAATTTTGGCCTGGGTGGTGCGCACTACGATTACCGGAAAGAGTACAAGACGGTTGACCCAAAGATCACTGCTGGTCAGACGGCCCGGGTACCTCTTGTTCCCGCCAAAGTGAATCTTCTGTTCTCGGGTAGTGGCTCGTTACAGCACGAGTTGCCAGACACCGTAGGGGAAGCTGTCGACTCCAAGCACCGCATCAATAGCTGGAAATGTCACCGTGGAAAAAAATCTCTCACCCACCTGGCTTGTTCTTTCCAAAATCTTGCGAGAATGATGTTTCCTGATGGAATACCGCCATATCTGACAGCTGTTTCAGATCTCAATTACTCTTTCCTCCCGCGGTCTTTGAAGCCGTTCGACGTCCACTTGATAAACGACTCGTTGAAACTTCTGGAACAGGCTCGTTCTGGGAGGAAGAAGACGACGAGCTGTATTGAGTTGTCAGTGGAGGGTCAGGGGGTGCCGTGTGGGTGTCGGGCGTTAGAGAGAGGGACACAGTTACAGGCAGACGTGACAGACGACAACCTGACTCTGCTACCGCTGTGCGAGAGCTGCAGACGAGAATGTGGTCTTCTCGCAGACAGAGACGATTCTTGTAGTCAATGTGCGGATTTTGAAGCTCCCGCAGATGGAGGTGGAGGTGACATTTTACGTTGTAATCACGTTATCCGAGGATGCTGCGAGAAGTGCTCCAAAGTCTACGAGTTTCTCACAACGATGAAGATGAACGGACAAAACAATGACCAGGGAGGACATAACTTTTGGGGTTGGGAGTCCACAGAGTTATAGGCACAAGTGGGCCATTCTGTGTCGTGACACCGACATGATAAATGAGAGGCAGCGAGGTGGAATCAGGCTCACGTAAATTTTTGGGCATGTAGAGTTATTGGTATCATCTTAACGCTTGTCCAGTTGTCTTTATTTGGGTGAAAAAAATATCCATTTATCTTGAATACAAGTCGAGATATTTGCGAATGAAGAAGGTGGGGGTCACCTGTTTTCAGAGGTAAAATGAGTAAGAAACTGAAAATTAACATTTTTTGTGCCTTTAATTAACGTTTTTCAGAAAAATGCCCCCAGAAATGAGTTCTTTAATGGGCATGAAAGGTGTTGAGGCAAAAACCAAAAAATTTGATGAAAATTCAAAAACTTGTGGAA